TGCTTATAGCACCTCCTGATAGTCTGGCACATCTGATAATCCGGCACTACCTAAGTCCCATAGGTTCCGGATTATCAGAAGTCTACTGTACAATCTTAGAAAACTCAAATAATTCAATTTTAAAACCTCAAACTTGGCATATGATGTTTATAACTCTTCACGAGGGAAGCATGTTCTACTAAGTGAAAAACAGACTGAACAAGACAGTTTGGATGGAGAGGGACAAAAAAATGTGCCCTATGCCATTTTCTATAATTATTGAATAAAATGTTACCTGGCCCTTCTGTGCCTATGGGGAAAGATATGGCAATGGAGGAAGGCCTTTGTTCAACTTCTGCCAAATTACAACTTCTCCAAATTTTAGTTTGCATCCACAGGTGTTTTATGGTTATGTACATGGCACAAGTTAGAAGACAATGTGCAAGGCACTTATTTCCTGGGGATGTGCAGTGTGTAAACAGCACCTTGCACAGCTCACTAAGCACTCAAACAGAGCCTCACCCATCTACAGTGCAGTTTATAGCAGCATAGTGGCCTTCTGCCTGCCAAAATCTTTTCCAGGCTCTGGGAGCAGGCAGGGGCTAAGCATAGTGGAAAGGCTCCAGCAGCTCCCCAGCAGTGGGGGAAAACTCCATGAGTGCGCAGTTGCCCCAGCCTTTCCCCACTGCAAGGAAAGACTAGTGGCTGGGAAAGGCTCTAGCTAGAAAAGACTCTAGAAGGGTGGCATGGGTTTGGGGAGAAGTGGCAAGAGCACAACATGAATGCTGGGAGAGAGCACTCTCAGTACCCTATGTAAACCACCTCTACCAGTGCAGTAGCTAACAGAACTGGGAACCTGGTTACACTGTAGTTTTACAGAACTGTAGCTTGCTGCGCTCAGGGGAGGAGGGATGTTTTTTTCATAATCACGGGTCAGAAAGTTGCACCACAGTAAAGTACCAGTGTAGACTTAGTCTCACACTCCACACATGGCCCAGAACTAACTCACTAACACACACACACCCTCTCCCTCTCCCCCTCCCCCTCCCACACACACACACACACACACACACACCCTCTCCCTCTCCTCCTCCCCCTCCTCCTCCCCCCCAATTGTCAAGTGCTATCACCATTATTTATTTGTATATTGATGGCGCTTAAAGGTACAATCAGGGCCCTGTTGTTTTAAGCACTGTACAAACATAAAAAGACTAGCCGCTACCCTACATCAATGTCTATATGACTGAAAGATACAATGAATAATTGCAAAAGTATTTATACCTCAAAACTATCACTTGCTTTTTAATTTTCAAATAGAAATGTTTTACAAACTACATTAATGCAACGTTACAACTGACATTTTATCTGTCGGACAGGCAGGAAACGTCAACTTAAAGTTCCCACAGTAACCCCACCTTGGCCACACTGCAAACACATTTAAAGTCAGCAACACGATCATCCGATAATGCAATAGAAGAGACTCCCTGCACGAAAGGACTGAGTGTTACAGCTACTTGGGGAATCTTAACTTTGAATTTCTTAACTGAGGTGCATAATATTTCAATTGTGTTGCATTAAACAGAGTATCTTTAGGAGTCTGATATTTCAAAGGAATTTCCTTCAGGCGCCTTCAGCTGTATTGGTAGTAGTCTTGCTCTACAGCTTTGTTTTAAATTGCATAAAACAAAAGATGGAAGAACACTGCAGAAAAGTGAAATGAAAAATGTTTGTCTCTTGTTACCTGCAAACCAAGCTACCTACCCCCAAATTATTAGTTCAATCTTTAATTTTTTTGTACATTTTGCATCCTATTTCTGAAACAAATTTCTAGCTATCAGATATTAAAACTAGTTATCATTAGATTTCTATAGAGTCCTATTATTCAGTAAATCTAATTTCACTGAGACTCTTGAATATGTATTCCTAAAAATGTGGCGTTGACTCTTTGGTTTCATATAACAAGAAATGCAGCAAAATTAGTTTTTGCAAATAAATTGAGACAACACATTTTGCCTTTGGTCAAAATGGACTTTTCATTTACATATAAAGAAGTGTTAAGTCAGGTGCTCAGGGTCAGAATGAATTAAGGGTAATTTTGCCAAATTAGGTTTGCAGAATTGGACTGCCTATACTTCAATTGTAAAATCAATATAATTCACATCTTACTATATATTTTAGAAATGTGTCTGACTAACTGAGTCCATTTGTTCAAGAACTCCTCCTAAATGGTAAGAGTTAAGACCACCAAATTTGATATTAAGCTTCTTATCATAACTTAAAGCAATGTGAGGATTTGCTTATGCCAGGACAATAAGATGCACCTGGAATTTGATTATTTCTCATAAAATGGAAAGAGAGGAATCTGACAGAAGGGACAGTTATACTGTAGAATGACCACAGTGGAGGTGTGGGGTAGCAGAAAGAGAACAGAGATGGGGACCGAGACAGCTATTACCCCACTTATTCAGCAGGGAGCGGGGGTTAAGAAGGGTACCGTTACCTACTATGTATTTCAGAGAGTTTTGAGGGGTAGCAGAAAGAGAACAGATATGGGGACCGAGACAGCTATTACCCCATTCATTCAGCAGGGGGCGGGGGTTAAGAAGGGTACAGTTACCTACTATGTATTTCAGAGAGTTTGTTTGTGTTTCTGTCTGTCAGTCCCCCAGCCAGCTGACATGCACTACTCCGTTGGCTAGGTCTGCTACAGTGGCCATGGAAAGGCGCTTCTCACCTGCCCCAAGCTGCTGTGGTGAGAGAGGGCTGGAGCTGTCCTCTCTCTCCAGGGAAGCCTGCATACTGAACCCTTCATCCCTTATCCCACCCCAGAACAAGGATTTCAATAAAGAAAAAACAAGACTTATTTGAGTTACAGACCCGTGCAACACTGGGTAAGTCTTCTAGTAGCTAATTCTTGGTCATTCACACAAGCCAGAATATAAAACACTGGATGAGGAGACTGTGTAGAAAGGATGGGTATAGATTTATTAGGAACTGGGGAAACTTTTGGGATAGGAGGAGACTATACAGGAAGTATGGGCTCCCCCTAAACCAAAATGAAACCAGACTGCTGGCACTTAACACTAAAAAGATCATAGAGAAGTTTTAGCCTACGTTAGAGTAGTTTTGCTGGCTAGAGGAAAGCCGACTGGTGCGGAGGAGCATATGGATCAGACAGACATCTCTTAGAGAATGTCTATTAATAGGCCCTCCACTATGATCTAGTCAGGAGAAGAAGATGGAAGATGATAAAGCATGGATCAGATCAGATGAGAATCAAATGGGGGAAAAAAAAGAGTAACACATCAGGAAATGGCAGAAGATAGAAGATGATAAAGCATGGATCAGATGAGAATCAAATGGAAAAAAAAAAGAGTCTAATACATCAGGAAATGGCAGACAGATAAATAGTGATAAATTTAAGTGCTTATACACGATAGAAGTCTAAAGAATAAGATAGGTGAGCTAGAGTGCCTCGTATAAAGGAGAATATTGATATAATAGACATAGAATCATAGAATAATAGGACTGGAAGGGACCTCAAGAGGTCATCGAGTCCAGCCCCCCGCCCTCAAGGCAGGGCCAAGCTCCGTCTACACCATCCCTGACAGATGTCTATCTAACCTGTTCTTAAATATCTCCAGAGAGGGGGATTCCACCACCTCCCTTGGCAATTTATTCCAATATTTGACCACCCTGACAGTTAGGAATTTTTTCCTAATGTCCAATCTAAACCTCCCCTCCTGCACTTTAAGCCCATTACTCCTTGTCCTGTCCTCAGAAACCAAGAGGAACAAATTTTCTCCTTCCTCCTTATGACACCCTTTTAGATATTTGAAAACT